GGCGCAGTCCCAGTCCATTCGGCAAACTGTACCCATGTCTCTCGACAGATGGTGGCGTGCGTGTCCTCCCGGGACGTGTCACCCATCCAATTGGGTAGTACCCTGCAACGGTCACCTGCGTAGCCCTGGCAGGTAACGGCTGCGACAGAAGCCCAGTGGCGGTTACGCCCGACTTGACAAGAATGCCCCTATAAAAGCTCCTTAGTCGAAGGGGGGAGGGATCTCTGATCGAATCTGATTTTGAGTCATCTTACTTGCTCTCGAGCTAATCTTGAGAACTCAGTGATCTAGCGCGACCTACACTCTTAGCCTCTTTACACTCTTTACTTTTTCCCCCAGCGTTCTAACTTAAGCTTCAGAGTATTCCCACCGGGCAAATCCCCCGGGAATCCTTCACCTTCTTCTTCTTAGGTGCCGTCCATTGCCAGTTAGGAGCCAGTCAGCAGCCAGCTAGGAGTGCCCGGACCGTGCCACATCAGTTAGCATTGGGCATCATGTAATGTGTGACACCAGAATCCGGGTACCATGTAGGATCAAAATTTGAAGAGAACCCTCCATGATAAGAAGCAGGTGTAAATTCCTCAGTTTGTACATTATTAAAGTTGAGATCATACCATCTGCGACATTTCAGTGCTTTGTGTCTAGGGTGTTGCAAACTTGACAAATAATAGTGGAACGATCACAACCTCTGCCTCCATTATCATTGAAATGACCTCCGCCCCGACCACAGCTGTTGCCTCAGTTATTTGAGAATTTTTTATTATTTTCTTGGGAGGACTGATTTTTTCCTTTGTAGGAAGTGGGATTGGCTACGGGCGTGGTATCCAGAGGTTGGGTATGATGTTGTTCCAACCAAGCTTCATGGCTGAGTAAAACGCTTAAGACATCATCGATGCCTAGTTGGTCCATATCGGGCCAATTGGTGATAATGGTAACAACCGATTCAAATTCTGGACCTAGTCTGGCTAATACATAAAGTATAAGATCTATAGAGCTAACAGGATCGGCTACGACAGATAAATTATTAGAAAGACATTTGGCTCGATTGATGTATTCAGTAATAGAGAGTACCCTTCTTAAGACTTTGTAATTGTCTACACATCTGAAGTATGCGAGAACGGGAATGTGCAAAAAAAAGATTTTGCAAGTGCAGTCCATACCTCATGAGAAGAATGAAGGCCTACTACTTGAGAGGAAATTCCATCCGTGATTGTGGAGATAATCTAACTAAGAACATGTTGGTCTTGTTGAAACCACTCAGCAAAGGCAAGATTTGGTACGATATTGTTAGGTTGACTCGGATCAGCAATTTCTCTTGGAGGAGCCTTGGTCGTTCCATCAACAATACCCATGACCCTGTAAGTATAGAAAACCGGAAGTAGTTGTTCTTTCCACAACAAACAGTTTTCTCCTATTAGTTTGATCGGGAGATAGTGTGACGAAGTTGAAATTGAAAAAGAACCTGTACCACCGAATTGAGAAATTATTGGATTGAGAGCTTTGCGTCAAATTCTGAACTAAGCTTGTGCCGCCGTTGGAAGCCATGGAGTCATAGCTCTGATATCAAGATAAAGAAAATAAGAAGGCACAATAGAGAGAATTCAAGATGAATGGGTAAACAATTCGATAATGATTTGGTCGAACCTTGAACTATTTATAGATGACCAGATAAAGATTGAGTACAATTATTAGAGTTTGAGTTTGTGTACAGCACTCAAGATTAAGAGATTAATTTAAGTTACAACAAAACTCCATCAGATAGAGTTTATCAGGATAAGGACGAGGGAGCAATTAGACCTTAAGTAAAAAGTTCATTACATGTAAGGATCATGCAATGAAATTTATCATGAAGTCCATCGCAAGTCTCTAATAGGTCTCAAGATAGGCTTTGACCCATCAATATTCATGTTCGTTCCATTTAGATCAAGTATCCTTGAATCTTTGCGATGGTAAGATGGGTAGGAGTTCTTGAACTTGGTAGAGTTGTATAATGGGCATCTTTTATGACCACGCTCCAATCTCTATTTCCTTAGAGCCTCTTCCACATCAAGCTTCCCTCTATTTGCAGACTCCACTTTGTTCAAACCCTCTTTAAGAGCTATTTTATTGATTTTGACTTCTTCTGTTGCTTGCTCCACCTTCTTTAATATCTCCATCTTAGATATATTTGCTTCATCTATTCGAAGCATGGTATCTATGATCTACCACCTTCTTCCTTGAGCACACGTCAACTTCTTGAGCTTTGTGGGTTAGGGAAGAATACTCTTCACAAAAAAAAATAGAAAAAAAAAGGAGTTACTCTTTCAAGGTTTTGCTGGAAAACCCTAGATGAGCTCTCATTGTTTGCTAGAGCCTTGATCTCTACAAAGGCAACAACTTCAACTGCTCTAGTAGCTTCCTCCATATTTTTGGCTGCAATCAATCGGATCCTAGCTGTTTTTATACTCGTCTTTGCCTGTTCAATCTTTGACATTGCTTTCAAAACCTCATATTTAGCAATTTCTAGCATCTCTTTAAACTGCTCAGCCTCCAAATTTGATTTTTGGAGCTTCCTTGAAATATCAGTTGGGTTATCAGAACCATCCTTAATTTCTGCATTTTTAGCTAGTTGCAATTTGAGCCTTGTTCTATTTAACCCTTCCTCCAGAGAAGATATCTTGACAGAATTCAAAGTCAACCTCTTATTAGTCTTTTCTAGCCAAAGACCTCAAGTTATGCCATTACCTCTCCATAATGTAACGCCAGAAGTTATACCATTATCTCTCCATTTTATTTAGCTGGTTGTTTCTTAGCCAAAACCAAAAGCCAGTCTTTAATTGTAGGTTAATTAATGTGAATCATTTTATCAAATTACAATTACATGAATACCCTCCAAAGATCTCAAGATATAGAGTTAAAGTTGTCTAGTGAAAATTCCAGAAGCCAAGAGCCCCATTCGCACTTTTATAAGTATTATAGATATAGATATAGATTATAGATATTATAGATATAGATATGGTACTCGATCAAATAGTTTTGCATGTAAAAGTTGGGTAAACTGCTAAAAGCTCCCCTGAAGTTTCTGGCCATTGTTGAATCCTCCTTGAAGTTCAGTAACTTCAACCACCTCCCTTGAAAATTTTGACATAGTTGCAAGTAGACCCCTCTATTAGAATCCTCTAGCAAGAGAATTTAAATACTCAAAATATCCATACAATTACTATTGAGATCGGTTTCTACAGAAAAAACGATACAAACTTTATAAATAACAAAAAAAAATAGAGAATTTAAAGTTGTAGCTTTACCTCTAGGCGATTGATATGAAGGAAAATTTAAAAAATAAATCAAATTCAAAAAAGAGATTGGAAGGGTTTGGGCTTGCAATTTATATGAAAAGAAAATTTGAAAAATAAACATTTTGGTCAAAAGTAACCTAATGGATATTTTGGATATTTTCATGTCTCTTTTTATAGTACTCTAACAAAGGGGGGTCTACTTGCAACTATGTCATAAAGTTCAAAGTGGTGATTGCAACTACCAAACTTGAGGGGAGGTTTCAGCAATTATCCATTAAAAGGATAGTGAATTTAAAGGATGGTTGTAAGCCCTTCGGCCTTCAGTGGAGTTGGAAGAGTGGGGGAAGCGTGCAGTTAGATGCATATAATTCTGTATTTAGTTCCAACCCTGAATCTAACATGCTGCTGAGGTCACCACTCACAGCCAGTCTCAGCCCTAGGCATCCAAAGAGAATTGGGATATGCTCCTGCTACTCACACCTACCTCACGACCACATTTGACATTCCATGGTATACCGGGAACATCTCCAATGAACAATAACATGGAAGTACATGAAATGTTCCTGATGTGCGGCTGGAACATGTTGTGAGGTTTCTCTATGAGGAGCAGATTCAGACTCGTTCAAAGCATAGGCCTACGAAATCAGCTTCCACCTCAGCATCTGTAGTCCAATGCTACATTAGCACCACATAGGCATTGGTGTTTATTGGATATGAAACCACTGCTTAGTTCCACCATTTATCAAATAAACACTAAAAAATAAAAATGCTACGTGCATGGGACATTTGGGGAAACGTCAAATTCATGTTTCCCATAATGCATGGGCATTTCTTAAAATAAAATGCTGATGTGACACACTTTATCTGATGTGGAAAACAACTTTATGGGGTGTTACTTGAAACACTCATAAAACGTCCAACCAAATAGAAAAACCAAAAAAAAAAAAACAAAAACCAAAACGTTTAAAATAGCATTTTTTAAATAAACATTTACCTAAACATACGCATTATTCCTCATGGGCTGCTTCAAAGTCAAACTATTCAAAATCAAACAAATATCCAACCCAGGCCCACCCAATTTGTACATCCAAGAACCATAAGGAAGCCTACATCGAAATGCCAGTTTCTTACTTCTGTAGTCCTAAGGATTCAAACCCTACTAAGTTCAAATTACGCCCTCTCACTTGTATATTTAACATTTGCCCACTTTTGCATTAAAACTTAAAACTTAGAGGACCAAAGCTATCTTGGAATCGCGGGGAGGAACTGGGAAGTGTATTATGGGCACAACTTCTACTGTTTTGGTGGATAACAGGAATGAGCAAGCCCTTGTTTAGGAGCCGATGGCAAACATGGCTTAAAAGTCAACGAATCTCTTCATTTCACTTGGCTTTTGTGTTTTTTGTGAGCCCAACAAGGAGTGAATCTCAGAACCCTTTTCCACAAAAAGGTTTATGGTTTCCAAGGAAAGAAATGCTCTAGTGAGTAGAAGGGAATCCAATGCTCTTTTTATTAGAAAACCCTCTATTCCTAATCAAGCCAGCACACCGAAAGAAATCAGAAGACAAAGGCAAAAGAAAAGAACCATCATTAACGGTGAAGCAATCCAATCCAGTCTAGTCCTGTTAGTTTGCCGTTGTAATACTTGCAGGCCTAAAAAGAGAGACGAAGAAGAATAGAAAGGGGAAGCATAATGTGGTCACATACATGGGTTGTTGCAATACGTTAAACTGGTGGACTTATAAGAGTCCAAATGCATTAGTCATTAGCGTGGACTCATAAGAGTCCGTCCAAATACAAATCTGCTTTCTACAAACTTTGATAATAGAAGCACAACACCATTGTAGACAATTACGATATAACACATGGATGGATCAGGTAAAGTTGAGACAAACCCAAAAAGGAGAAGAATGAATAGAGTTATTGGGATCAAAACAAATGGTTTCCACCTGTAGAAAAATAACCTAAAGATATTAAAAACAACCTCAAGTGTCTAATTGGTCTCACCAGTTTCTTAATAATAAGAAAAGCAACTTTTTTATACATACAGTTGCCCCCCGAAACAAGGGTCAAAAGAATTTCTAGTTTCTTTTCACTTCTTCTTCGGTGAAAAAAACAAAAGAGTTACGTTACTCCCTCCCCCCACCCGGCTTTTACTCTAACAGGGACCAAAAATATCAATGAATCCCATCATTCTTTCCTTGCAGAGAAAAGCGAGGAAGCTGCTGTGCTGATGCAGGTGTCTCCTCTTCACCATCATTCACCAAAACAACATTTCCGCTCTCCCTTTATTTTCTTTTACCTCATTGTGGCGTCAAATATGGCAAACACTAGCCAAGTTAACAACAAAACCAGAAGAGTGTGTGAAACCTCCGGCCTTCTCGTCCCTCTCCAGAACCAGAGTCTGTCCGCAGCTGCTCCACTTGTGTCCGTCACGTTGCTGGAGCTGGACCCTCCCGTCTCTGTCTTGTTGCTTACCTTCTTGCTGCAATTAATTAATAAATAACAAGCACCCAGTTCAGATTTCTGAATTTAAGTTTTGATTAAGATGTTTCATTCTTTCGGAAACAATTATTAAAATAAGAAACTGTGCCCTGTATTGGGAGAAGAGAACGAATAGAAACAATAGAGTACTATGGATGGAGGGAAGACGGAAAGGAGAGTAACCCCAGATTCAGTCACCCAGAACCTTTCTCACCTTCCAGGAAAAATACAACTCCCGTGACCTGCAATCACAAGCAAACCACCAAAAATTAATGCCCACTACGACGCTCGTTGGAAACCAGGAGCCAAAGTGGAAAAAAGAGAAAAGAGGGAGAAAAAAAAAAAAAAGAAACTGAAGAAGAAAAGGGAAGAGTACGCTGTAAGCATAGTATTTTTCTTCTCGAGCAAAGTAGCAAACTTGATTGGGGTTTTAAGTTCTTAACTTGCTCTATGTGATACTTTTATGCCCAAATTTACTATCCTACGGATTAGCAAATTTCAAGTAATCGACTCTGCTTATAGCTCTGTTCCTTGAAAGAGAAATTTCTAATTAATTATTGTTGTTTGATCAGATTTAAGAGGGTATACTTGGGTCTGTGGTAGTGATCATGGCGGCACCCTTGAAGTCACAGGACCCAGCAGTTTCGCCTTCTTTCTGGTAATAGCTATCGAACGCATAGGAAGCATGGTTCTTCACATTGTTGGGGTGGTAACAGCTCTCACCCGGCTGAATCTCCGAGCAATTTGCCCGTCCCGGTCCACATGCCCAATCTAGCGCCGCCTGCAACGTCCTAGGATCCACTCCGTCCATCGCCACGCAGTACGTCTGATTCGTTGTATCGGTCGCCATGAATGTTCCACTTCCCGACACGTGTAGCAGGTATACCGGCGTCGAGTTCCCGTAGAATAGCCCCCAATTCGCCTCCGACACGGGCGGCGACCTCAAATCCTCGTTAAACAGCTCGTAGATATAAACACTGGAAGTGAATTCCGGATGCAACGGGGTTCCGCTCCGGTCGAAAACATGCTTAATTAGATTCGAGTTGTATGTGTCCGCGTTGTCCATTGTGGCGTATGGCTCCTTGGAGTCCCCTTTCGATGGCCATCCTGACTCTGTCACGTGAACCACAACGTCTGTAATGTTGAGATTCTTCATGGAGAAGTATGCGGCGTCGATCATGGCGTCCAGTACATTGGTGTAGTGAAGCAAGGTATTAGGATCGACCATTTCCTTCGAAGGGGTCAATGGTTTGAAGAGACAATTGTCCAGAGGGACGACCCCTTTGTTCTGCATGAACACGTAGTAAGGATAGAGGTTCATCATGAGAGGAGACCCTGTTTTGGATAAGAATTGGAGCAGGGGAAGGACGATTGGGACGAGCGATTGGTTAAAGAAGGCCTGCGATGGGGGAAACGGGTCGAGAATTATGGAAGCCGAATGGGGCGTCGAAATTTTGATCTGGGTATGTAGATTTGAGGCGACCAGAGCACTGTAGAGCGACTGAATTGCAGGGAGAAGAATAGGAGACGACGAGGGAACGGTGGTGAAGACCTCGTCACCTACCACGATGCCGGTTATAAGAGTTTCGGGGTAGAATGCGACGACATTGCGATCGATCCAGGCGGCAGCGGTGGCATTCGATGAGCCGATGGCGAGGAGCTGATTGTTGGGCACACCAACGACGACACGGATCTTGGTGTGAGCGAGAGCTCGAAGAATGTCAGTGTCAGCATCATAGAGGCGGATGTGGGTGATCTTCTGTAACTGTAGGAACGAAACCAGGGCCGTCGGAGATAAGAGGTTGGAAACGTCGGTACCGATGTTAACTCCCACAAAAGGCTGGTCATCGTCTTGTTTCTTAACCTCTGTTACTAGTGCCGCCTCTGCTGCAACAACCGATTGATAGAGAAAAGAGAGATGAGAAAGGTGCGGTCTTTGATGACAAAAAATCTCGCTTAAATTGGGAGAATTTAGTGGGTTTTACCTGCTACAGTTAAAACTGTAAACAACACAAACAAGGGTAGAGATAAGCGAGCGGTAGCTTTGGTAGTAAGCTTAGAATCCGCCATTATTGAGGACCTCACGCTTTACTTGTTCATCGTCTTCGTCTGGTTCAGCTACGGATCCTTGCATTATCTTCGAATATCTTCGTTTGTTAGTAAAAAACAGAAAAAAAAAAAAGGGATTTCTCTCGGGTCCTCAACACATGCAGTGGATTGCAGTAGGAGAGAGACAGACCCACGAGATCTACTCTTGGGAACGGAAGAAAGAACACGGCGACGAAATTCCGTATTAAAAATGAATTTATCGTCAACAGTCGAATAGGATTCAAGAGAAAAAAAAGCTCTGCTCTTTCAGCATTACTAGATTGTCTGTCGCAACTGGTGAATTATTGAATTCTTTTTCATCCTTAAATGACAAAATTACCCCTCATCTACACAAAAAACACGCAAACTACATGAAAGTTACGCATCGGCGCACTAACGCAAGGGTATTTTCGTAGTTTCGTGAGGAATTCGAGGGTGCTTCAGTGATTGCAAAGCTCATCGCAGAGGTGGGTTGGGTCACAGGCTGGCACTTCCTTCTCGTCCAGAAGAAGTTCCGATTGCCCAGTGCAATTACCAAGACACCCTTTCCCAGTTACAAAACCGGTTTACTTCAGAAATCAGAATTCAGACCGGCGGCCCACTGGTTTAAAATTCAGAACTTACTATACAGTTTACACTTTACACAATCGCAGTCATTAGAAATTTACAATCTAGTCAGTCAATTCCTGTGGCCTGTAGGCTATACCACTATAGCTGTGGTGGGTCATCGCTCATTGGGGAGTTCGTCTGAAATGGGATCGGATGGCTGTGATTACATCTTATTCTGTTCTGTGTTTAATACCATTAACTGCGTTCCAAGTTTGAATACATCCCTATCAAATCCATTTATTCAGTTGGGCAAAGGGCGTGAGGAGGATGCGTTTGGCTGCCAAATGTGAATGTTCAACAGTGGTTGTTGAAACTGAGGTTCCAAACAATCGAGTCCCCACTTAGTAACATCAGTAGGTTATCAACCACAATCAAATTCCGGCAAGGCAACTATTCCCAGTTTGGATGCTACTGTGGATTTAAAAATGAAAAGATTTGTTGGTAGGTAATTGTCTTAAAAAGTTGGTAGTACCCCTTTTTCACTAAACTATGGATTTGGACCACTTCCAGGTTCAAATCTCTGTAGTTTTTCATTGGGATGATCAACTCCCCGAAGGCAATAACTTGAGCCCTTGTACATTTATGCAAGTAAGTTAGTCGATATGGGTATCTCATAAAATAAACACTAAACTCCTCAGTTCTAAGCATGGAAAACAAGGTCATTGTCCTTTGTTTGCTGGAAAGCAGAGCTAGGTTATTCTGCAGCTACCCTTGTTTTACAAATATGTCCAAAAGGGATTTGTGTAATTGGGTGAGATACTGTGGAAGTAGTATGTAATGAATTAACATATAAATTAAAGAAAGAAAGTGAGATTGGGGTTAAAACTAAAATAGGTCTGATAGGAGGAAACAGAATTATTCAAGCTGGGGAACCTATTGAGTATTGAACCCCACCAAGTCTACCACCCCCAGCGCCGAAAGCTTAAAAAAGAATACTAATTGGCAACAAAATTGATTTCTGGGAGCTCAACGGAATCTCCATTAACCTTTCTTCTCAATTTCCTTGGACAAGAGCAGACATATTCTACGAGTTAGGTCATCATAACTTGGAAAGAATTAATGCGTCCAACTTTGGGGCTAAAATTTAAACCAAAGCCCACATATGGCATTACAAAGGCCGGTACTTTTCTATTTCAGTGGACGGGCCCATTTTCTCACGTACTGTAAGACAGAATATGACCGTATTAGGATGGGTGGGGCTTTTACATGAACTAACAAATGGGTGGGGACCTGAAATCAATGCTCTAAAAACGGGAGCAATACCAAGAGCTTCCTCTCATTGGCAGGCAGAATTCTAAGTATATATATATATATATATATCAGTATGGTTTTGAAAATCAGATCAAACCGGAAGGTTCGACCAGTTGAGCAGGGAATCAATTCCATTTTACCTTCAAACTGTTTTTTAGCCAAAAATCGTTAATTTAATTAGCGATTTCTTGACCCAAATGATCGAACCATTGATCCATTTATCCAGACAAAAGTTTTGAGAGCAATACGAAGAGCTTCCTCTCATTGGCAGAACTCTAAGGATCTTTAGTTAAATATATGTTTCAGGTCAACTTTTACAATTTGGTAATTAACAACTCATGGATCAAGATGGGACGAGGTTTACGTATTTATTGCATGGATCAGGTTCTTATAGGAGAAGGCCAACAATGAAAAATATTGACTACAATCCACACTCCATGATTAATGTAAATTAGCATCAATTTCGAACTAGCACCTATTCCAATAGTAATTTGAACCTATAAATTCTGACCCTGGACTGATGGATCATTTTCCCAAATATTTCAGCTGTGGGGTATCCATGATTTGGGAGTAGGATTGTTTTGGGTATTACGAATTGCATTACATGGGATACAAGTGTAGGGGGTTCTCTTTCTACCAAAAAAAAGTATAGGGGGTGTTCTTTCTCCCAAAAAAACAGTGTAAGGGGTGCTCAGGATTCGATTATTCCTACCGTCGGGCCTATTTTTCAAATCGAACCCGTACACTGATTTTCAGAAATTTGTGAATTAAAATTGAATCGAAACCATTCACATTGTTTGTTTGCAGATGATGCGACATAATTTTTACTAAGGGCTTGAAGAGAGGCTTAAGGAACTTGCTGCAATTCCTAAATATTTATGAGGAGAGAACTCTGGTCCAAAAACTAACAAACTTAAGTTATGTTTCATGACTTCTGAGAAGACTCATACACAGAGTGGAGTTATAGCTGAATTAACTGGGTTCTGTAGGAAAAGTTTCTCGTTCACCTATTTGGGCGCTCCAATTGGAAATATAAGCTTGCGTGTTAGGGATTTTGATTCCTTAATCTAAAAAATCAGAAGAAAGCTCGAAGGGTGGAAATAAATAATTCTTTCAGCTAGGGGTAAGTTAATTCTTATTAAACATGTTCTCCAAAGTATGTCTATTCACGTCTAAAACTCTCTTTTACCTCAAAAAAAAAAAATTTATACAACAATTCAACAAATCCATAAAACTTTTGCCCAATTTTTTTTGGGTTCCTCAAATTTTGGCCCTAGATGGTGGAGAAGATGGGATCTGATATGAAAGCCATGCAACGAAGGGGGTTTAGGGATTCAATCTCTTTTTGAGGTCATTAAGGCTTGCTGAATCAAACCTTGCTTCAAATCAATGTTTTTGAATCGTCATTGACCCAAATGATTGGACCATTTAGGCAACCGATTCCGTTTTACCCCAAACCCGACATTTAGTTAAAAATCGTTGACCCGGACGGTCTGACCTTTAAACCATTCTTTTAAAAACTGAGAATCTTATATTTGAGATTAAGAAATCTCAGATCTGTGCAGATTTGTCTTTCTTGCTCGAGAAGGTGAGAGATATCTGAGATGTGTGAGATAGATCTGTGCAAGACGGTGAGAGAGAGTGAGATTTGAGATTGAGAAATCTCAGATCTGCCACCATCGCCGCTGCTGTTGCCGCTGTAGTTCGCCATTGCCGCCACTGTTGCCGCTGCAAGCCTGCAACCTGCAAGTCCTCTTCTTCTTCTTCTTCTTCTAAACTCTTTCAGTTCAGCTGACAATTTTCTCAAATCTTACCCTAATATTCTAATCTAATGGGTAAAATGTTCAAACCGTTTTAGCCGAACAATTAAACTGCTGACCCGAAAACCGATGGCCATAATGATTGTGTTTTTAGACAATTTCTAAAACCTTGCTTCAAACTTATTGAAAATTCATGGGCGCAATTCTTTACAACAAGATATCTGAGACCTAACCCCCTCAATACAGCCTTGCTTAATCCCTGTGCCACTAGATATTGGAAGGAAAATTTTCAGATAACAGACAACACTACAGAGAAAAGCAAGTGATTAATCAGCTGCGGTCCTGTATCTTTTTGGTTTCATCATTGGACTGGACACGAACCACTTGCTTTTGAAACAAATCAATTAGAGGTGGCGGACTTCAACGCTAATGAAATTCTTGGAGATGAAGGCTCTTGGAATTTTCCAAGCAACTTAAGAGCCCCAGAAAATATTCAGCAGTTGGCTCGCAAGTCCAGCATCAAGCTTACTAATGCCAATGATAGGCTGGTGTGGACAGGAAACTCAAGCGGGTGCTTTTCTACTTTGTTAGTCTAGAATCTTGAAAAAAATCACTAGACAATTCTGAACTGGTCAAAATTTATTTGGGAAGTGGATATCCCTACAAAAATCTCTATTTTCATGTTCAAAGCCCCTTGCTACTGATGATCTTATCATAAAGAAAGGGGTTAACTTGGTTTCCAAGTATAGATGTTGTGGCAACCCAAATCAAGAGTCTTTTGACCATTTGTTTTCTACAGGATTGCTGGAAGCACTTTGTTGATATTTTTGAGATTCCAGAAGCAAGGTCAAAGGACTGGGGGAGCCTTTGCACCAAAGACTCTCAACAGAAACAAGTTCTAATAATCTTGCCTTCAGTCATATTGTGGTAAATCTGGGTTGAAAGATGTCGACGCTGTTTTGAAGGGAAGTAAGTACCTAGTGACAAGCCAAATTATTATCCATGGATCTTTGAATTAAACAAATTGGCTCCACAATGCAACTCTTCAAATCCCAACTAAGGCAATTAAAACCAAATTTGTCAAATGGATTAAATGGCAATTACCTATCCAAGGTACGGTTAAGCTAAACACTGATGGAGCCCCTAGAGGGAACCCGGGTTTGGCGGGAGGGGTGTGGTCAGAGATGGGGAAGGTAGATTTATCTAATACAAATGCAAAGTTAGATTAGTTTTGCATTGATAAATTTATTCTCTTGTCAAATGATTTTTAGTTGTAATGGATGTAAACACAAATCCCAGTATTGAAATATACCTTTTTAACATGGGAAAATCTATGATGCGGAAAAGATATGGTATGGAAAGAGTTTTGACCAATCAAAACCCACCCATGAATTTTGATAAATAAGACCTTATTTTCTACCATGTTTATGATTCTAGTTTATTGGTCAATTATTTTTCGGATATCATATCTTTTTCATATCATAGTTGAACCCTTTTAACATTAATTACTTTGAACACAAATGTTTACTTCCTTTTTTATGAAGAATTACCTTTCATTTTGGGTGTAAACATGTCTTGGAAATTATGTTTTCTAGCATTGTCAATACACAATTGCATTGTTGCCAAACACTAGCAAAACTGAACTAGAGTGCATAT